AACATCCTTCAACTTCATCCCTGCCTCAGTTCATATGCTGCTGACATCAGTGTCCATGCTTTTGCCTGTGGTCTTGTCTATTCCAACACTGTCCTGGCTGTCCATCTTACTACCTCACTTTCCTCTAAAGATACTCCTTAAAGTCTACATCTTGAACCAAAATCCTCCACTCTAATATTTCCTTGTGTAGCTCCGCGTCAAATTTTGTTTGACAACCCTCCCATGAAATATCTTGGAACATTTTATTATAGTTTCAGTGTTGTATAAATAAATACTAATGTTGTGGTTATTGTTGATGTTGGTGAGATACCATAGATGCTTCCGATTTTCTTTACAATTAACAGTGAGCTGTCAGGCAACGAAAATTGATCTTTGTAAATTTAACCGAAAGGATATCTGTGTTTTTTACTACATAAAAGTAAATAAAATATTGGTTATCTCCAGATCACAGAATTGCTGCAGAGCAGAAGGAAGCCATATGAGCTTCGGATTCCTATGTATTGTTTTCTGAGTTTGAATTTCTTAAGACATGTTATGCTTTCAGATACCAAAGTGCTGATGGGGATGTTAAGTATCTTAAAGATATTAAAGAGCTTATGCGGCCAGAACGGAATACTTTATGTGTGAACTTCACCGATCTAGAATATTATAATCAGCAGCTAGCAACAACCATTCAGGAAGAGTTTTACAGGTTTGAGAAAAAAAAAAGCTTTTCTTCTGACTACATGTATTATAACAGCGAATTTATGCTCTTTTAGGGGAAATATCAGGCCTTTGACTTGAATAAGTCAAAGTCAAATTTATATAATCTACAGGTTTGTCAAAGGAGGTTAAGTTAATTTTTTAAAATCTCCTTCTCCCCTCTTTCTCACCACCATTAACCCATTTCCTTCTTTCCTATTTCTCTGCCTTTTCTTAACTTGCCTGTTTTAGAGATGCTTTTTTGGAAGTTTTATATCACTGCACCATCTACAGTGGTACAGGCCATTACAGGAAACATGAACACTTTTATAATCTATTTCCTATGAAGTTTAGTTCACAGAAGATTACAGTAACAAACTCCTTGCAGGTTTTGTAGAATCACTGTTTTTATGGAGTTATAAATGAAACATCAACTCTAACATTTATATTTCTCCTTCTAATACCTCAAGAATGTGATATTGTGGAATGTGACATGTGGCAGCTAAAAGAAGAAAAAATATTTTCATGTTTTTCGGGAAGAACCAAATACACTAATATAAGAATGTAATCTGTCCACTGGTTTGGTTAATCACATCAATAAGTTCTGAATACTGGGAAATGGAGATAATTTACAGTTGAAGCAAATAGAAACAAAAAACTGTCCTGAATTTATAAGTTTATTTTTGTAGTAGCTAATTTGAGATCCTGATAATGAACATGTATTTTGAAAGGAAAGAGTAATGAGACTAATTGAATAGCTTCTTCCAAGAACAACATAGTCACAATGGGCTGTAAGTTCTCTTTGTGCTGTATGATTCTAAGGAAAGAAGAACACAGGAGGTTCATTTATTGAATAAAAGTACTATGATTACTCCACCAAATAACCATTTTCAATATAAATAGCTTGTTAAAATGAAAAACTGCCTTTGACCTTTGGGAGCTAGCGATGGGCATTTATTTTGAAGGATCTGTATCTCAAATGCTCACCTGAGGATCAGAGTTCACTCATTTCGTATGATGAATGGAAAGTGCTTGAGTTTTTAAAAAGGAATATATTGACAGGATCTGGGAAAGGAGATGTTTTGTTGTGCAATAGAAACGTATGTTCTCCAATGCTGTTGATACTTAAAGGCCGTGAGCCATTTTAATTGCCCTGATGCCTATCCATTTTCTGTCCATTTCTGTTGCCCCAGAATTTATCCATATATTTGCCGAGCTGTGCGCAACTTTGCCCGAGATCAAGGAAACATCCCTGCTTCAAAAGAGTTCTATGTGGCTTTTCAAGACTTTCCTGCCAGACAGAAGTAAGTATTGCCATATAGTAAATAGCCTTGCTGTTTAGTCCGTTCTGTCTCTCTGTTTACCTAAAGTCATTGGAAAATCTGGCTTAATTATTTGTGTCAATCTTTTTTCTCCAGTGTAGCATTCAATGGTTTTATATAATCGACATGTTGCCATTTCATTTAGACTTAATTGTGGTTTTAATCATTAAACATATTTACACTTGCATACTCTTTTTTTTGTTCTGAACTTGTTCTGAAATGCGTTCCAAAGACATTAAGAGTTTATGGTGCAAATGAAGTTTATGTTCTGCTTTGTGCAGGTGCATTGGCAGCTGTGGAGTTCCAACTCATCATAGTTACTCAGAGGTGCCTGAACTTCTTTGCCTCTGTGCAACGAATTACTCCAACGGTCTAAACTGGTGCTTCAAAATACCCTAGCCCAAGCACAAGGACTTGTAACAGAAAGTTAAATTCTGAACACTCCTGTCTGATCCCTAAAGAAAAAGACAGCATACAAGAGAGTTTGGCAATTAAACCCTCCTCAATTAAACCAATAATAGCTGGATGGTAACAAAAACAGAAACTGCCCAAAAACCTCAGCAGGTCTGGCAGCATCTGTGGACAGAAATCAGAGTTAACATTTCGGGTCGAGTGACTCTTCCTCAAAACTCTAACCTGATGGTTCCTTGTTCTTTATTGCTGATTCCACATCTCTTCCTTCATGCCAAATTCTTGTAGCTGACAGTTTAATTTCAAACATATCCATGCATCAGGGTGACACGTCTTCAAGATGTAATATACAATCTGAACTCTGATACATCAGTCAATTTTAAGATGTGAACCCCTTGGTATACTTATGAATAATCCACATGATGGTGCTTTATGTAGCTAATGGCACTGAGGTGGTGTGCAGGAGGGGAGTCTAACAACTTTCAGTGCCTCAAGTTAACTGGAGAAATCATCAAAACAAAGAACAACAATTTGGATTTAAGTAATGCATATACGGTGGTAAAACATTCCACAGGAACATTCTTGAAAAAAGCATGATACCCAGATATATAATGAAATCTTAAAGTAGGTAAACCAAAGCTTGGTCAAGGGAATCTTTAAAGTAGAAACAAGAGATTTAGGGAGGGAATCCCAGGGCTTGGTTAGGAAATTGATGGCAGTGCTACCATGATGAAATGATCAGAAATTGGGCCTGCAAAAGAGGAGGAAATTGGAGTAGGTAAGGTATCTCTGGAGGAAATTGCAGATATATGGAGAGGCAAGGACATGGAAGGAGTAGAAAATGGAATGAGAATTTCTAGTCAAGTTGTTGTTTAACTGAGTGTATAACTATTGAAGGCCTTCAGGCACCAGGGTGATGAGTGAATGGGACTTGAAGTTATTTTATGGAAGCAGAATTTTGGATCACGTCAAGTTTATAGAGGATGGAAGTGTGGAGGCTGGTCAAAATTGAGACTTTAACCCTGGTATTGAAATGGGCCTCTTATGACGTGGTGAAGAAGATCTAGTTAGGATCCATGCAGCAGCCTCTGCGTGATGCAACATCAAAACAGAAATGCTGGAGAAATTCAGCAAGTTTTATAGCATCTGTGGAGAGAGGAACAGAGTTAATGTTGTAATTCTTACATGACTTCTTCAGAATCCACGTAATAGGGCTGTAGCCCCACTTCAGTTACAGGCAAACGTTTCTCTCTGGAATAAACCTCTAAAGGAATACTTGGCCTCCATGATGTTGCCATGAATGGCAGCTGCAGAATGACTAAATCATAAGTGTAATATATTCTTTCTTTTGCAATTACTTTTTTCACTGTGTTGTGGCTCACCATGATCTTTCTTGATTCCCTGCACCCACACCACCCATCCACAACCTACTACACTCACCCACCCATCCACCACAGTCTCTGACATCGTCTCTTAGGGGACCCATCTGCTTCACCTTATTTCCAATCACTTCCATCTGTCTCCTTGGTTGTCTTCGTTCCTCTTTTTTTCTGACCCCGTCCAGTACAGTGTCCTTCCCATAACATGATCTTCTGGCCTTTGTTGGGCAAGCCTGTGCCATCCTAATCTCTCTTCATCGGCGCTTCAATTATCCTGGCTCTCTCTCCTGGATGCTGTCGTTCTGAGCCTGTTCACTTTTTCGGCGTGGCAGATCCAGTTCCATATCCTCATCCATCATCCAGTGTAAACTATAACAAGAATGGAACTTTAAAACCCTCGAAATCAAATCGTACAGAATAAAACCATATTTCTTCTTTTTAAAAAAAAATCAGACAGTGGTCTATCTGACAGTGACATATTTTAAGAGGTATAGGAGGACACTTTCTCTGTTCTTTTCCTGCTTACTTTGCCACATTTGCCCTTCCACCGCCCCCCCGACCCAACAAAGTGTCCAGAGCATTCTGTGCTGAAAATTAGCCATCACTTACAAGATTTTTTTGTCGCACATTGACTGTTGCTGGAGACACATTAATGCTAATGGGCGGACAAGACTTTGAGAGTTCCATTCCTTCCTTGTATTTGGCTTGCACCAGTGTTGTTGAGGAAACGGAGTGTTGCAATTCCAGACTATAGTTCCTGTTTGTGGTACTGACCTGGAAAGTCACGAATGATGCAATATTGGGTTAAGGGAATATACTGCCACATTGCAAGTCTTTGCTAAAGGAATTCCAAAAGCTCTGAGGATGTAGCTGCAGACAGAAACAAACTGTTGATGAACTGGAAAAGTTCAAGGTGTAACACGCTTTAAGCAGGCTCGAAAGCAAAAACAAAATGATGTGGCGATGCTGGTATTGGACTTGGTTGGACAAGGTCAGAAGTCACAAGACAACAGGTTTATTTGAAATCACAAGCTTTCTAAGCGCTGCCCCTTCATCAGGTGAAGTGAAGAAAAGCATACAGGCACAGAATCTATGGGCAGAGAGATCAAAGGATCATTACAAATGGTGCCAGTAGAATGTCGGCAGGTGATCAAAAGTGACAGATGGTGAGAGTAAAGTGTCAACAGCTGAATAGTAAGTGAAGGGGGTGACCTATAATCTGTTTAATTGAGGCAGAGAGATAATTACGAAAAAATATAAATAAGGTGCTGCTCCAGACAAACCAATTGGCTGGAATCACATGATAGGTGTAAGAGTCGCATGCTGAGGGTCTAACCAAACTATTAAATAATCCAAAACTGTACAAACTAATTAAGGTAGAGAGATCATAACAAGTTATCAAGGTGATGGTGTTAAAACAGGACAGTAAGGAAGATTTTACAGGTACAAAAAAGTATGGTGGGGGTTGCATGTAGCATGACATGAGCCCAAGATCACTATTGTCTCCAGCACTATCTTATTTTTAGTTTATTCCAGTCACATCCTTTGTATGATCTTTTGATCTCTCTGCCTATAAATTCTGTGCCTGCGTGCCTTTCTTCACTTCACCTGACGAAGGGTCAGTGCTTCGAAAGCTTGTGATTTCAAATAAACCTGTTGGATGATAACCTGGTGTCGTGTGATTTCTGACCTTAAGCAGAGAAAGGCAGACGGAAGAAAAGAGCCAAGATAACGCTGTGTGATAAGGTTGTAGTGAGGAGAGGCTTATTGAAGATGAGAGTGGTATGCTAAGAGATGTCATAGGACAAGTAAACAAACATTAGGTCAAAAGCAAAGATCAGAATTTTTATCAACAATTACTGCCGTTCTTATTTTTAGGAAAAAGAAGCTTTTATGCTTTAAAGATATTTTAGTATGATGCAATTCAGCAAAATGCGGTTTTCTTTAAGCGTTTTTTTTTATTTAAGTTCTCTCCACCTCCATCATTGGTACCAAGTATGTTTTTCTGGCACATCGCTCAGTCTAGCCTCCCATTTAAATCAGGCATTGGCTGACTTTTCACCACAACCCTCATTCTGCCCCTTTGTGGTATCCAAAGCTGGGAACTTGATTCTTGTTCTGAGAGCTTTGGATCTGCCCCAGCTAAAAACTGATGACTGAACAAGCTCATCTCAAGTTACCTGACCTTTATGACTTTAGATCTTGCTCTTAAATATAACAATCCATAAGTTACTAAAATTTAAGGTCACCACTGAAGGTCGTAGAAAATATTGCTAGAAATGACTGCAATTTGCTTAAAATTCTGCATTTATGTTTCTGGTAAATAGAATTCGAGAACTTACAGCTGCGAAGATTGGGACGTTGTTACGCATTAGTGGGCAGGTGGTACGAACACACCCTGTTCATCCCGAGTTGGTTGCTGGTACTTTCCTTTGTATGGACTGCCAGTCAGTTATCAAAGATGTGGAACAGCAGTTCAAGTACAGTCAGCCAACTGTCTGTAAGAACCCAGTTTGTGCTAATCGCCGCAGGTTTATATTGGATACCAGCAAGTCTCGTTTTGTGGATTTTCAGAAGGTCAGTTTTGGAAATATAGGTAATTCCTCTATTCTCCGGCTCTGTAGCATGGCCTACTTTTATGCTCACCACAATATCTCTTCCCCATATTTGAATGAAACAATGTTAACATGCACTTAAGCAATTCTTTGAATTCTTGCTGGCATCACAGTTGTACATTAAGTGGATGACTTTAGCTTGTATTCAAGTATGTGAGTTTGCTGTAATATTAAAAGACCAATAAAGTCCAGATCAACTGCAGTCCCATAGTTTAAATTATTAAAATGTCTGTTTTATATAGTTTTCTCTCATGCAACCTAATCAGTCAGTTTGAATGTTAGTATTTGTCTTTGAGTGTCGGTCATGAGCTGTTGGAATGGTGCCACCTATCCTTGTGAACTTCAGATGTTATGCTAGACAATGAAGGCTGCTCATTTTTCCTCCAGGATGTCTTTCATTGCTGCAACATTTTCATTCTTCAGATGTTGAAAATGCTTGAATCCAGTGGTTGTTACCCAATGCATTTAGCTATTAACTTGGATTGCTCCAAGACTTTGTTTCTTTTTTGCACTGACTCATGTCAAAAGAGAAAAGCAGCCAATGGACAAGATGTTTGAGAGTATAATTCCTTCAAAGAAACTTAAATGCTGCTGTAGAAAAATACCAGCCATCCATGCAAATAAAAACTCAGTCCAACAATATCTAAATTACATTGTTTGCCATAATCAAGCTTGAGGTTTCCCAGTGCGACTTGTACTGTAGTAGGAGAAAGTCCTAGTGTAAGCTGACCCAGTCCTTACAGCCAAAGCAGAGAAGTGTGAGAGTATTCTCACATTGTACATCAGTGTCAAGTGGTTTGATGGGCATATGAGTAACTTGTCGAAACCGTAAATGGCTGGGTGCATGGAAGCGAAAGGTGACTTGAGAAGAATAATAGACAGCTGAAAGGGGGGAAGAACTGACTTGCAGTTTGTTGTAAATTTCTGCTTTTATTTTAGGTACGAATTCAAGAAACACAGGCTGAACTTCCTCAAGGTAGCATTCCACGTAGTGTGGAGGTGATAATGAGAGCAGAGGCTGTGGAAATGGCTCAGGCTGGAGACAGATGTGACTTTACTGGTACACTTATTGTAGTCCCAGATGTTAACCAACTATCTACACCAGGTAAAAAGTCTAAACTTATTAAAAGAGCCATTTGTTGTACTGGAATTCTTTTTATAAAAATCCAATTAGGCAATAAAAATCCTTTCTACAAGTATCTGCACGTTGTCCAGCAAAGTATATTTTCAAGTTATCAGGGTTACATAAACCTTGTATCTAATGAAATAATGATTTTTAGAAGAAACAAATAAGTCTTTTGTGTTTGGTCTATTATGCATGCCTGTTTTACATGATTTGACTTAATTTATTAGTTTCATCACCTTATTATCTTTTTTAAATCCCAAATTAGGAATTCAGGTTTGAATATTTCAGACAAATTAGTATAATATTGTAGAAGACTGTCCAAAAGCTTGCTGCTGTTTGTTACTATATTTCCTCTTTATTAAGTCAGCCTTGTGCAGAGTTGCTCTCTCGAAGTTTAACTGTATGATTTAAACCTTACAGATCGACTGTGTTCATAGCATCTCATTTATAAAAAGGCATACCTGAAAGTATGTCTGCTGGGAATTTCTACTTTGTGTTCTGTTGTAAGATGAATCATCACCAGTGCTTGTGTCTTAGGTATTTAGGGTAGATTTGCTGTCACCATCCTCTTTCCTGGGGATATAGTCTAGTGCCTGGTCTAGTGTCTAGTTAATGACTGCTTGGTCTAGTCTGGTAATGGAAAACCACCTGGTATGCTATTGAGAAAAGTTTTGAACAATTATTATCGGTGGTGCATAATGTGTATTCCTCAACATTAACCCTTTATATCCCTTGACCCATTGTAGAGCGTGCGCGAAGTTCCAAAGAATAAAATACCACAGTTGGTTCAAGTAAGCACACATCATTAGTTTAAATATCCATCCGTTTAATGTGGGCATAAAATAGAAATAAAATGTTATACTCAACTTTAAGCTATGCACACCTCTATGTTTAAGGTTCTAACACATTATTACCTGCAAATGTAAAACCATTACTTAAAAAAACACAATCACTTTGAGGGATAATACTAAAGAAACAATGCATTTGTACACAAACATGGTTAGACCACTCAAGTTTTGAATTTCCTGGGTTAAGAAGAACATTACAACAATTTCTTTTTAACTGTAACTTTACCAGAAGTGTAATACATTTTAAGAGAAGTGTAAAGCACTGGGAATATTTTAATTGGTGCAGAGAGGGCTGAAAGACTAATGCAAATTTTAAAATGTGAAAAGTGAGTAAGGAAGGTCTGTTTCCTCTGAATAGACAATCTGTGTCAATGGGGTGGAAGTATTAGCATTTCTAAATTGTTCGGACCAAACAGCATTCGTCAGAAAATTCTGCAGTTGTTAGAAATTGCAATGCTTTCCGACTAAGTGATCAAGATCGCCATCACAGCATCTTTTTGAGGGAAAAGTTGATAAATGTTTAAACGTGAAGCTCATGTACAACTGAGGAAACGGTGGAATGAGGTTGGTTTTTCAATTGCGCAGACTGCGAACCAAATGATAGTCCCCGGTGCTAAAAATTTCTCTGGTTCAATAGTGAAGTAAAACAACTAAGGTAAGGGGATGAGTCATTTTTTAATAACTTGGAAAACTGAGGAATTGGGAAATGAGAGTGCAAATAAACTATAAACAAAGGTCTTGCATCCTGAGCAGATACTGCAAATGAAGTGTGGAAGGTAAATAAATCAAACTTGTATAAATTCAAATAGTATTTAGATAGACAAAATATATTTTAAAAAAAGACTGCTCTCAACGTGTTTTCAAGTGGTAAGTAATTAATGCTACTATATCTTCAAGGCCTGTGCGATGTATTGTCTTTTTTATTTTGTCCATTATCTGATCTATTAATAAATTTGCAGTACATCAATAAGTGAACTACTACCTAGTTTTAAGCTGCACTGTGAGAAAGGTAAGCATTCAAGATGATTTCCAGGTTTCAAATTGCTACAAGGAGTACAATAACTAATTCACTAAATGGATCAAAATTAAGCTGCATTCCACTTTTTATACTAGCAATTCCTTACATCTGTGGAAACTGCCTCAACATTTTATCTTTATCACTCTGGAAACTGATCTAACAGCCTAACTAGAAAATATATTGTCCTCTGAAGAAAAGCAAGTATTGCTAGAAAATCCTGCATCGAAAATAAACATTTGCAGTAAAATCTTCAGTAAAATCTTTAAATGTGTTGAGTATTCAAGTCAGTTTCATTAGTTTTTTTTGCAGATATATGTTTTCTCAACCTAATGGGCATAAAAATTTTGTTTTGTATCAAAATCAGGTACGAGAGCGGAGACAAGTACTCGCGTTTCAGGGGTGCAGGGGTCTGAACTTGATGGCATACAGGGCCTGAAAGCTTTGGGAGTTCGTGATCTTTCCTACAGACTGGCTTTCTTGGCTTGTTACGTAGCGCCTACTGATCCCCGGGTAAGAACGATGGGACATTACTTTTGTGAGACCAAAGCCTGGATGCAAAGAATTTTTGTTTTAATTAGTGTTTATTTCAAATCTCTGCACACAGACCAACCAAGCTAAGAAGCCGGCTAATTTATTTAGCACCGAATGTAATATTACAGAAGGATGTATGAAACACCCTTAGACACTTGTTATTTCTCATCAAATGTGGCCTCTCAGTGACATATATGAAGACACCAGAACGACCTTTCCACAACTTTATGTAGTCTTTTCACTGTCTCTGAGCTGGGATTGAAGTCTGACGTTCAGTTCTGGGTAGTTTCCTCCAGTTACATGTTGGGAAGATTGTTGCCTTTAATTTTATAATTTTGGGGTTTTGAAATTATAACATTCATTAATTTTCTTTTAAAATCCAGATTTGGATTTTTTAAAAATTGCAATAATGAGGGGATTCAGTTGTGCCTGAGCAATATTCCTAATTAAGTATAACTTGTTTAGTGAGATGGGCTTATCAAATATACTGAAGACAGTGTGAAAGATTATTCCCCCAGCACCCAGGTTCCCTTGATCACTGACAGTGCAAGTGAAGTCTGTCATCTTTTGACCTCTGAAGTGATGTTGAACTGTGCCAGAATACTTACACCACAAAAGCATTGGGGAACTGGTGTAACTGAAGATTAGCTTCTCAACATTTATCCTTAATTGGACAGTTTCCAATTTCTTACGACAAAAGATTCCAAATTAGCCTTTTCTGATTGGCTAAGGTTGAGTGTCACATGGTCCCTCCTCACCTGTGTGAATAGAGTCATGTAAACTGAGACAAATATCCATCTCTCGTTCTCTAGGCCCACCGAGATGACTTTACTTGTTCAGAATGGGATATGTCCCTGTAGATATACATTGGAGTTAGAGGAACAGTGGTACATTCTATAGTACCAACTGTTAGTTATTCACAAACACCAAGCCATTTGTGCAGATCAAATGCAAAACATAATGGAATATAGGTCAACTTATGCCACAGATAGATAGGTTTGCTAATACCTTGATTAACTAATAGCCAACCTAATTCAAACACATGGTTCCTATTTAATACAAAAAAAGCCACATTGGGTTCAGACTGCTGGCCAAAATTTGCTTATTTCTTTTAAGGTTTCAAGTTTGTTTTTACATATTTTAGGCAGCTTTTTAAAATTGAAGTTAAGTCTGGAGGCCAGGGATGATATTTATTTCAATATTTTAAACTTTTAGATAATGTATTTAGATTATCATTAAGAACAATTTCTTGGATCCAGTTACTTCCCTATTCTCCAGATGCTTTAACTATTTAATTGTCTCAATCAGCATGAAGAAATTTAAATCAAATGATTTAAGAAGATGGCAATTTTTAAACCATAGAATGTTAATTGAAACCAATGTATAACACCCCATTAGTAGTATTAATCAAAAACTTACAATGCCTGTCCATTGCTTTGTTTCCTAGCCATGGATTTCACTACATTCGCAGGTCACTATCAATGGTTGAACCAAATGGTTCAAAGACAACAAGGTGCAGGGCTGGATGAACACAGCAGGCCAAGCAGCATCATAGGAGCAGAGAGGCTGACGTTTCGGGCCTAGACCCTTCATCAGAAAAGGGGGAGGGGAAGGGGGTTTTGAAATAAATAGGGAGAGAGTGGGAGGCGGATAGAAGAGGGATAGAGGAGAGGATAGGTGGAGAGGAAACAAACAGGTCGAAGAGGCGGGGATGGAGCCAGTAAAGGTGAGTGTAGGTAGGGAGTTAGGAAGGGAATAGGTCAGTCCAGGGAGGACGGACAGGTCAAGGGGGCGGGATGAGGTTGGTCGGTAGGAGATGGAGGTGCGGCTTGAGGTGGGAGGAGGGGATAGGTGGGAGGAAGAACAGGTTAGGGAGGCAGGGACGAGCTGGACTGGTTTTGGGATGCGGTAGGGGGAGGGGAGATTTTGAAACTTGTGAAATCCACATTGATACCATTGGGCTGCAGGGTTCCCAAGCGGAATATGAGTTGCTGTTCCTGCAACCTTCGGGTGGCATCGTTGTGGCACTGCAGGAGGCCCAGGATGGACATGTCGTCTGAGGAATGGGAGGGGGAGTTGAAATGGTTCGCGACTGGGAGGTGCAGTTGTTTGTTGCGAACCGAGCGTAGGTGTTCTGCAAAGCGGTCCCCGAGTCTCCGCTTGGTTTCCCCGGTGTAGAGGAAGCCACACCGGGTACAGCGGATGCAGTATACCACATTGGCAGATGTGCAGGTGAACATCTGCTTGATGTGGAAAGTCTTCTTGGGGCCTGGGATGGGGGTGAGGGAGGAGGTATGGGGGCAGGTGTAGCACTTCCTGCGGTTGCAGGGAAAAGTGCCGGGTGTGGTGGAGCTGGAGGGGAGTGTGGAGCGGACAAGGGAGTCACGGAGAGAGTTGTCCCTCCGGAAAGCAGATAAAGGTGGGGAGGGAAAGATGTCTTTGGTGGTGGGGTCGGATTGCAGATGGCGGAAGTGTCGGAGGATGATGCGTTGGATCCGGAGGTTGGTGGGGTGGTACGTGAGGACGAGGGGGATTCTTTTTTGGTTCTTATTGCGTGGACGGGGTGTGAGGGATGAGGTGCGGGAGATGTGGGAGACACCGTTGAGGGCGTTCTCGACCACCGAGGAGGGAAAGTTACGGTCCTTGAAAAACGAAGACAACTGAGATGTACGGGAGTGGAATGCCTCATCCTGGGAGCAGATGCAGCGGAGGCGAAGGAATTGGGAATAGGGGATAGCATTTTTGCAGGAAGGTGGGTGGGAGGAGGAGTATTCTGGGTAGCTGTGGGAGTCGGTGGGCTTGAAATGAATATCGGTTTCTAGGTGATTGCCCGATATGGAGACAGAGAGGTCCAGGAAGGGGAGAGAGGTGTTAGAGATGGTCCAGGTAAACTTAAGGTTGGGGTAGAAGGTGTTAGTGAAGTGTATGAACTGTTCGAGCTCCTCGTGCGAGCACGAGGCGGCGCCGATACAGTCATCAATGTAACGGAGGAAGAGGTGGGGTTTAGGGCCGGTGTAGGTACGGAAGAGGGATTGTTCCACGTAACCTACAAAGAGGCAGGCGTAGCTTGGGCCCATGCGGGTACCCATGGCTACCCCCTTTGTCTGTAGGAAGTGGGAGGAATTGAAAGAGAAGTTGTTGAGTGTGAGGACGAGTTCGGCTAAGCGGATGAGGGTTTCAGTGGAGGGGGACTGGTCGGGCCTTTGTCCTATTTTATCTCTAGCTTAGTTTCAACTCAGCCTGTGTTTTCATCACAGATTGGCTGCAGGCAATCTGGAAAACAAAAAAAAACTGTCTTCATCCCTGCCTCATCTTTATTGTTTGTCATTAGTAGGTTTAACTATTCCAATGCTCTGCTAAACACCTTCTTATCTACTACATTTCTATCTTGAGCTCATCCAAAACTCACGGTATATCCCAACTAGAACCAAGTCCTGTTCTCCTATCACTCCTGTAATTGCTGACCTACAGAAGGCTCCTGTCTCACTTATCCAGCACCTCCAAATTGGAATTCTGGTCCTCTGTTTAAAAACTCCTGTATAGCATCTCCCCTCCTAGTTCTGTAAGCTCACCATGTCTTGCATTCTTGAATTCTTCACCTTGCCATTACTAGCCATGACTTCAGCCATCTAGGTCTTAATCATGACATTTTAATATGTGTAAAACCAATCTTTTTAACTGAGTTTTTAATTGTCTCTTCTAATATTTTCCTTGGCTTAGTGCCGTTTTATTGTCTGTTTATTTTCCAAAGTTAAGTGTGTTATGTTGATGGAAGTCTTGGTATGCATACTCACTACTCTGACCTCTACATAACTGCATTAGTTTTATTTGGCTTAGTTTTATAAATTTTGAACAGTTATACATGCAAATTTTATGATACTGGTACAATAGTTAATCAATGTTTGTTAGAAAGTATAGTGGGTTTGTTGACATGCCACTGGAATAAATGCATAATTGAGGCTTGAAATCATTTGCTTGGTCTAGTTTCAAAACAACATGAGGATATCTGACCGGCATAAACTTACACTTTTGATTAGTTGGTCTCCATGTCTTTGACTTTGCCTAGTTTCAAGCAGTGCTCTGATGTTTTCTTATGCCCCCTCCTGAATTTGTATCATTGAATTAACTTGGCTCAATAGACTGATGTTTAGAGTAGGAATTTGCTGTGTTGTTCTTGCACAGAAATTGGCAGTAGTTTATGGATCCTGCCACAGGAACTCAGACCAAATTTCCCAAGACTTGCATTCTTGTATGCTGTAACATAAACTGGTGTAAAATTTACAGAAAGCAGCATAAATAATTGCGTCCTATAGAGAGCATGGAAGAAGTGCCATCTTCCTCTTTCAGTTACTAACCTTATTGATTTGAAGTTCTCAAACTATCCCTTAAGCTGGTTAAGTGGAACATGTTTAAGAAAATTTAATGTATACTTTTCCCTTTAAAAGACAATGGATTTTGGCAAAGTTTTCTTAATAATAATAAGGAAATAATTAATATAGCACAGTTCTCTGTTAAGGAAACCATCCTAAGTGTTAGATCTTTGGTGTTAGGCTACTCATTGTTACAGCATGTAAAAGTGGAAATAACTTAGTGACTTTGACTGAAGACTTTAACAACAAGTTCAGCAAAAGTGCCCAAAGGTTCATGTTGTTATTGGGTGCTTGGGATGATCTTGTGAAGTTCTGTCATCTCTGGACACCAGGGGTCTTTGGCAGAGGCACACTAGGTCTTTGGGCTGCCTTTTAGCAGCCAAAGAAATTTTTACTATACAGCAGAAGGGAAGAATAATGGCCTGGTAGAGATTGACTGGTAAACAAGTGCAGGCAGCCTGTCAATATGGGTGGTGGATCCCTCAGTCTATATTGATCTGACTCATGATTGAGGACATGGACATGGAACATGGATGTAGCAACTGGAAGCCAACCTACAACTCTTGCTTCCCAACCCAAAAGCTTTGGCTTTACCCCTATTCTTCCACGTGTTGCTGCCAGTAGGTGGTTTCCTTAAGCATTGCAGTAAAGAAGAGAATAAAGAGTTGGGCAGCCATGACACATGCTTGCTTTATGTCACTGCTGAATGTAAAGGCATTAAATATCTCACCAGAGGCACAAACAAATGAAGTAGACACAAGATTTTGACAGGTGCTAATATTTACAATGTAAATTTGCAATTGTTCTAAATGAGATATATGCAGGAAGTGGTTATTCTCGGGTCTTCTTGGGCTGGGGAAATGTTAATGGACCATGTGTGATTTTGGTAGAACATTTGTGTATTAAGATTTTCAACAATTCAATCGTACATCTCTAATGTTGTACCATCCACATTCTGAGTTCTTCTGGAAAATGTCTCTCTTTAACATTTTTCATTATATGTTCCACAGTTTGGTGGCTCAGTGTACAGAGAGGAACAGACCGCAGAAAGCATCAAAAAGCAGATGACTCTGCAGGAGTGGGAAAAAGTGTTTGAAATGAGTCAGGATAAAAATCTGTATCACAATATTTGCACCAGCCTTTATCCTACAATTCATGGTAAGAGACAGCCTAGTTAAACCAAAGCATGAAGAGAAATTCAATGGACTTGGTCAAAGTCTACAGTAACAAAGCTGAAGTATGTTTAATTGTTTTCTATTTGTATAATGCTGCCAAATTCTGAATAGAACATAATCACATTGCTATTCCTACTATGTTTTCAACAAAGAGTATGTGATGTTGATCTTATTCTCAATGGGTTTTCAACGTGGAGCAACAGAACCCAAAATTTGAATAGCTATGAAGAGTTTCAGTCTTGGAAATTTGATTTGTTTTTTTCACAACCACTCCTCCTCACGATTGGAAAGAAACTACATCTAGGTTCGTAATTGAAAAATTATAGTTAACTTGACTAATATAAAATAAATAAGTACAGTCTGGCCATTATAGAGACATGGCTGCAGGAATGCCATAGACTGGGATCTAAATATTAAAGGGAAAATTACTTTTCAGAAGAACAAAGTTATGAAATAGTGGAGGGGTAGATCTGCTAACTATTGATGGTATTGGCACAATAAAGAGGGATGGCCCAAGTTCAGGAAACCAGAATATAAGGCAGTAGGAACTGTAGATGCTGGAGAATCCGAGACAACAAGGTGCAGGGCTGGATGAACACAGCAGGCCAAGCAGCATCATAGGAGCAGAGAGGCTATGATGCTGCTTGGCCTGCTGTGTTCATCCAGCCCTGTACCTTGTTGTGTCAGAATATAAGGCAGTTCAGATAGAAGTGAGAAAGGCAAGAATTGATTTGTGAGATTAGTGTACAGGCCCAATACCAGTAATCATATGGTAGAATGGGGAGTAAAGGAAGAACTAGCATGATTTTGTTAGAAAGCTAGCAGTTTTGTTCATGAGGGATTTTAATCTACACATAGACCCAAAAAAAACTCATGTGCAAATGGAGCCTAAATAAGCTCATAGAATGTGTTTTTTTTTGTTTTGAAGGGGAAGGAAGAGAATCTGTTAACTTCATGTTCTAGAGCCAACTAGAGTGCAGACTATACTAGACCTGGTGTGGCACAAGATGTTGAGGTTAAATAATGACATTTTAAGTTAAGGTGTCCTTAGACATCAAAGATAGAATGATTTACTTTGGCCTTCTGTTTTCTGGAAGGAAAAAGGAGTCCCAACCTAGTATATTCAATTATGACTGAATGAAAGTAGAGCTGGCAAATTAGTTTGAATGAGAAACCAGGGGCAGATATTTAAGGGGATATATCAAGAGTACACAGAATAGATACATACCAGCCAAAGAGAAATTCCAAGGAGAGGACCACAACCCTTGGCTAACTAAAAAAAATGTTAAAGATCATATCAAACTTCAAGTGAAAATATATAATTGTATACAAAGTGGTCAGAACATTAGACAGACTATTAAAAAATCAAAGAATTGGTCTTTAGTATCTATGTACCACTAAAAGTACATGAATAAAGACTTGCAGAGTATGAAAAGAGCATATTTCAGAATTCTTAATTGTTTTAGTCAATTTCTGTATAGTTTCTACATAGCTCCTCTTTTAAGATAATGGCATTTCCATTTGAAGTGAAGATCAGTAAATGAGAGTGCATTATTACATAATTTGAGTTGAGTCGCCTGGTGAGATTTCTAATTCCTGTAGAGATGGAAGGATTATGGATTTTGCAATGTGTGTTGGTTATTCAGTGTCAGGAATTAATTGCATATCAAGCATGTAAAGTACATTTTGAAGAGTTTTTTTTTATTATTTAAAAAAAACAAGCTTTCCAATTGCATCATAGAAAAATGTCATGGTTTGTGGATAACTGCATTAGGTAATTGACTTGGGGTTTGTGATTTATACTTTCCAATTATTTTCTATAATTAAGGCAATGCTTTCCCACAGGTAGTGATGAAATTAAGAGGGGAATCTTACTGATGCTGTTTGGAGGAGTTGCAAAGACTACAAAAGATGGTATTTCTCTTCGTGGTGATATTAATATCTGTATTGTTGGTGACCCCAGCACGTCCAAGAGCCAGTTTCTTAAGTAAGCAATATGACTTTTGGGAGACGTTGCTCTCAGAATATTAAGCCTGAGCCCCTAAAGGATATAGTTGAGCATGAATGCAGTATATAAACATTAAGAGAATGTACAGTACAGAAGCAGGCCATTTGGCTTAACTGGTCAAAACTCATGGCTATATTGCTCACCAATCTGTTCCCACTCCCCCTCATCTAACCTTTGTCAGCATTATGTTTAGTTCCTTTCACCCTCTTGTATTTATCTAGATTTTCCTTGCATGTATCAATTACTCTTGATTATTCCTCATGATAATATATTGCAAATTCTCACCACTCGCTGGTTTAAAAAACTTTTCTGTATTCCTGTTTGGATTCATTAGTGTGGGTTTAATCATTCTGAAAACATGAACTTGCATTCTTTGGGAGCAACTAGCAATGTAGCAGCTTATTCAAATAGAATGGTCAGACAATGAGGTGTGGTGGGTTCTGGGTGCTTTCATTCTTAAAGTCCCAAAAAGGTTATTTGTAAGTAGAGCAAGTGATTAGGAAGTGAAATGGAATGTTGTAATTTATTGCAAGAGGAAGGGTACATGAAAATAACAATGTTTTGCCACAGTTGTACAGCATTGTTGAAACCACATCTGGAGTACTATAAAGAATCTTGATTGCCTTACTTAGGAGAGGATATAACTGCATTTTTGTAAGCAAGAGAGGGGAGTTGAAACCACTATCAAATGGCCTACTCCTCATTTGTTGATTTTTTTTTAAACCAGGTACATTGTTTTAACTGTCAATTTGGCTTCATGTTTGGATTGTTATCTGTCTCGAACAAAACTTGTGAAGTAGAAGGGTCACAATTTACTTTGTCAACCTTACTATTTCTGAGGGCAATGATGAATTCTCTCAGAATCATTTTGAAACACTATTTGACAGTACTGACTAAGCAATGAATCCAGGACATTACCTAGCAATAGCAAAGAAATAGGACTAAATGCCTGAGTCAGGAAAGTGGGTGACTTGGTGGCAATCTAGCAAGTGTTGGTGTTCCCGTAACATTGTCCTTCCCTTGGTGGTTGGGTCACGGGCTGAAAACCTACTTTGCTAGCAGTTTGGTTACTGGGTTACATGCAGCGACCACGTAACTTTTGGAGGGGATGCATATTGAGCCAATTGAGTAGATCCCAATTGAGAAGAACACCCTCCTGGATATGTTGAATTTTTTAGCATTGTTGCATCTATCCAGGCAAGTGGCATTCACCTTTTACAGATAATGGAGGAAATTGAATGGAATAGAGTACCCATTAGTGTACCCAGCCTTTGACCTACATTTGTATCCAGGTTAATGAAAACAAATTAAGTAGGACAACAAGTTAGGACCCTTTTAAAAAGAGAATTTTCATAATCAACAATTGGAATAGATTTCTAGGAGAGCAGGTGAAGAGTGAAACTTAATGAAAAGACTATGTATCACCAGCTCAGGTTCCTTAAACTGGTTTATGGCAAATACTTCTGAAATGTACTCAGTAGTAATGCAGAAAAAATATAGCAGCCAATTTGGCCACAAGTAATCACAATGAAATTTTTAAAAAAAATATTATTTTTGCATATAGATCAGGCCACTAGGAGAATTCTCCCTCTCTTCAAATCAAGCTCACATTTGCTATCAAGCAAACATTAAAACAAGGTCATAGCACTCATTCAAGGGGCAGCTCTCCCTTATTGATGCACTAAATTTCAAAAGAGATTGAGTTCAAATCATGTAACATTTGAACCCAGAATCACCTGGCTCTGGCAAGACTGAAATTGCAATGGAATCAATTGAATGGTTCATTAAGATTCTGGAGTCTTTGGATGAAATAGAATATATTTGGAATTTGATTTAATTGAGACACTCATTTTGTTGGTAGATTTCTACATGTGTATTTTTGTTCAGCCACTGGAGGACAGTAGCATACCAGATAAACCTACAGTTCAAAAACCGTCAGAGACAATTTCCAGTAATGAATTAACTTTGTGGGTTTATTTAAGAAACATTTTTATTTGGTCTATTTACTTTGCAGAATGTATGATTCTTGTTTCAAAAAGAAGCAAAAACAATTAGAAAATCAATTGAAGTAGACTCTTGTTATTCTCCTAATTTTCTCCATTGTCCCCTTTGAAGGATTACAGCTCCATGTGATGGGAATAATGCCACATCCACTGTAAATTACTAACTCGGCTTAACCATGACAAATAATATCATCAGACGCACTATGTTTCAAGACTAATTGCAGCTGATATATACAACACAATTTCAAACAAAAACTGAGTTCATCTGCACTCCCTACAGCCAGTGTTGACTTTTTTTATCGAACTACGATGCTGTTGTATTCAGCCTGTGGCCATTCACTGTGTAGTCTCACAGAGCTTTGATTAACTCAGCTGGACGGACAGCTGGTGTGTGATGCCCACCAAGTGGATTCAATTCTCATACTGACTGAGGTAACCATGAGGACTAGCCTTTTCAACCTCACACGTTGATGGAGGAATGGTGACAATCCATCTATTAAACCACAAACAGCCATTTCTCTCTCTATGTCTCTTCCTTTCTTAAGTATCTTCCTTCTCTCTCTTTCTTTCTTGCTCCCCCTCCCCCTCTCTCGTTCTTTCTTGCTCTGCCTCTCTGTCTCTTGTTCTTTCTCAACTTCTCTCCATTCTTTCTCGCCTCTCGCCGCCTTTCTCTCTGAGAAAGCAGCTGTTTGGCCCTCTGGGATGATGGCAACTTTGCCTTTTTGGGATCGATCAGCTTAGTTGGCTGGATGATTGGCTTGCAATGCAGAGTACTGCCAGCAGCATGGGTTCAATTCCAACAACGGACTGACGCTCCATGAAAGACCTTCCTTCTTAACGTTTTCCCCTCTCCAGAGGTGTGGTCACCCTCTATCAACAGAGCAGCCTGTGATCTGGTAGGACTATGGCAACTTTAGTTTTAGTGTCACGTGGATAACTTTAAGTGAATAACTGACAATGACTGTGGAACTTCACCCAAGCAAGGACTTTTACCTTCTAGAAAATAAATGAGTAGAATTGATTATTGCCAATCATGTTTCGACTAGGAATGCTGACGCCAACAACTTGAACTTCGGGTACCTCTTAATTTGAAGAAAAGATACCACAGACATCCTAAAACATTATGATACCAAGTTACATAAGAAGATATAATGTCAGATGATCAAAAGTTGATTTTGCGCAACCATACTTTGAGGAGAGTGCATAGTAGAGGAAACTCAGGGCGCAGACAGCTGAGGAACATTTCCTGTGTTCCATATGTTCCAGTGAGAACATTTTTAAAATCTAATTTGCTCAAGAGGCCAAATTATGTGAGTGATAAATACAATTATTGTGCTTAATAAGACCAGAAATTGAGAGGGACCAAGTCATGGAGAGATTTGAAAATGGCAACAAGCATTTATCAATGTTTAACCGGGGAGGCAGTGTAGTTCAGTGAGCATAAGTGATTGGGAGTGACATTTGGTAGGATTTGAGACATGGGCAGCAGAAGTTTGGATGATGTCATATTTTGTTAGAGGATATAATGAAGTAGACTAGTCAAAATGAATTAAAACAGTCAGTTCTGGAAGTAACAGGCATGTAGGAGAATTTCAGCAGCAGTGGAAATGGTAATACTAGTGTTGGAAATGAGTGTGGTTGGAGCAGATAACTCGGATAACTCGAGTTGAAAACTCATCTTGGATATTTGACCTCAAGGTGATAATTATATATAAAATAATAAGTTATTTATTGCAATCATAGTTATTTTGTTTTGTCTCTGACTCCACTGTAGATCATGCTTTACAAGCTAATATTACTCCATTGGTCCTTGTAATTCATCTCCTTTAATTGATTTCTTGTATATAGTGATCCAGGTTTGATTCCACTCTCGGGCGACTGTCTGCATGGAGTTTGCACATTCTCCCTGTGTCTGCGTGGGTTTCCTCCGGGTGCTCCAGTTTCCTTCCACAGTCCAAAGATGTGCAGGCTAGGTAAATTGGCCATGGGGAATTGCCCATAGTGTCTAGGGATATGTAGGTTAGGTAGATTAGCCATGGGAAATACAGGGTTACAGGGATAGGGTAGGGGGATGGGGTCTGGGAGGGCTAGAGTGGACTAGATGGGCTGAATGGCCTGCTTCTACACTGTAGGGATTCCATAATTCTATGATGAGACATGATTCTGAGTTGTAATGGTTGGATTGATGTTGACTGTTGCCATTGAGTAGATGGTGTTTGTCTGGAGAAACATTTTGTACACTGTATATGCTGACTTGGCATGGCATTGTAACCTTGGCTTTAATTGCTTTCAGTTTTTAAGAAAAGCCATTAAGACCTACACATGAAAATCATCGCTAGGTGCAATTAGCCTGCCACTGATGAACTGACCTCCATTGTGCTTTGTTCACTTGGGGGACGGGGGAGTCTATTTTATTAAAATCCATGCAGCTTTTCTCTGCTGGAAAAAAAAGCAGAAATGAAAGTGCAGATTAGAATGTAGTTGAGAATACGTGCCATTTTCTTGTTTGTAGTCACAAAATCTAAAGGCACTTTGACAGTAAGCAAGTGAAGTAACATGAAAGGCAAGTCAATTAGCCCAGTTGGCTTGACGGCTAGTTGGTGATGCAGAGTCATGCCAGCAGCATTCTTGAACCAGCGGAGGTCACCATGAAGGTGCCATCTTCTCACCCTTGCCCCTTGCCTGAAGCATGATGACCCTCAGGTTAATTTCAGTACCAATCATGCTCAATAAGAGCAGCCCTACAGTCCTCTGGGATTTTGGTGACTGCTATTTACATAAGCCCAATTTTGATAAAAGTGCAGGTGAATCAACGCTTGCAGCAAAGAACAGAAAGGGATTAAACCTATAGCTTTTGAGGGCCTGTTATGGTGTGATGGCCACAATGGCTTCTGTGCTGTAAAATGCAACAATTATATATGCTTCAACTTAACAAAACGTGTATGATTGTAGTAACAAGGAAATTTTTAAAATTAAAAAAAATCAAAACTAAGCAATGAAGAAAAATACAGAATTAACAAATGAAAGGGTGTTTGATGCTCGACAGATTCATTGTATATGAGTGAGTGACATGGCACTCCAGTGGAACAAGTCTGTCGGCTCCAAGCAGTCTGTAGCTAATATAAATTGAAATATTTTAACCTCCTCAGGACAGGCAGGTGAAGGAATGTTTAAAACAAAATCGGGATCTACAATTACAATGTCTTCAATGAGTTCACTTTCCATTTTAACACAGCAGAGCTTTCCCTATAAGCAATTTAATCTGCTGTCCAAAAGAGGGTCCAGAATTAAACATTTAAACATGGCTGCATCTCTCAATTTTTGTGGTATCAGATTTGACCCAGGCTAGCTGGGTTTTCCAATCCTTGACCTGTAGTTTAGATAGACAGTGCTTTTCCAGCAGAAGTCTAGCCTTTCTGGTCTGTTAGTGTACTCTCCTTCATAATCCCATCCCATCTGCCCTACCTGTGAGCTGACTCCAATGCCCTCTTCATTTATCTCTCTCTATCCACTTTAGATGTCTTCTGGTAACCTCTGTCCCTGTGGCTGAGGCCTAGCTCTGTAGGTCTACCCTCATTGAACCTGTCAACCTGGATGGTAGAGATGGCAGAACTAATTTAAGGTCCTGGATTTAAATCCACAGGACTTTTGCAAAGCTAAAGTTCTGGGAATATGGATTCCCTTTCCAAGGAAAATGGGATAAAGAATATGCCCTTCCCCTGGCCCCACTACCCCCCCCCCAAAATCTGGGTTGTTATTTGTTATCGTCCTTCTGTTCCAAACCCTCATTTAATCTTTGCATGTTTGTATTTAAGTCTCCCTATGGTTTTGCTTGTTCCTTTTAAGACTCTTCTCAAAATGCACTTATTTTAATTCATAATCTTTTGTGAACCCCTCCTTACATTTCCTTTATCAAATAATCATTTTTCCTTGCATATCATTGAAATACTGTTTACATTGGCAAGTTGAATTTGTATAAAATATCCAAAAGCTGCCATGGTAATATAGACATGCTCTGAATTCAACATACCTCATCAACAAAAGGGTTTAAATGTTTGAGATTGTAACTGAATATCATTCCACCTTATCTAGGATGGCCTGTTGGGAAACAGCGTTGTTTTCTGTGCTTGAAGGGTAATAGTAAATATGCGTTTATTGCCATTCGTAATATTATATACTCTTAAACCATCTCCTTCAAGTATTTTGATCAGTAGGGTTTTATCTCATTGTGTCTTGTGTGCCAAGTGGTTGGATGTTTAACATTGTATAACAACAATTGTTAGAATTTTGTTTTTCTTGTTTCAGACACGTGGAAGAGTTCAGTCCTCGAGCTGTCTACACTAGTGGGAAAGCCAGCAGCGCTGCTGGTTTAACTGCGGCTGTAGTAAAGGATCAAGAGTCATATGGATTTGTAATCGAGGCTGGTGCTTTGATGTTGGCTGATAATGTATGTAAATTTCTACTCTTTTATACCTTCTTGTTATATCTCTGATGTTCAAGTCAAATAGTAAAGAGGTTCCAGTAATTATAAAGATGCTGTTGCTGACTAATTTACCGGAATCTGCATACCCATGTCATTGACTGATGGTGGTTCTGAGAAAGAAGCCCCTTCAAAGACTGAGATAACAAGGTGTAGAGCTGGATGAACACAGCAGGCCAAGCAGCATTCAGAGGAGCAGGAA